AATATGCGAAAATAATCGGGAGTCTGATGTTCTTAATGAACTATACCAGACCTGATATTGCACTTGCGGTAAATCGACTAAGTCGATACACTCATAATCCCAGCGATACCCATTTGAATGCACTAAAGAGGGTGTTACGCTACCTAAAGGGAACGATGAACTGGGGATTGCACTTTTCTGGATTCCCAGCGTCCCTAGAGGAGTATTGCGATGCGAATTGGGTGAATGATAGTAATGAGGTGAGCTCCACCAGCGGGTATGTTTTTACCATGGGAGGAGCAGCAGTATCGTGGAAGTCCACGAAACAGGCGTGCATAGCCAGATCAACGATAGAAGCTGAATTTATAGCTCTTGATCTAGCAGGGCAAGAGGCTGAGTGGCTTAGAAACCTACTGGCAGACGTGCCATTGTGGGGGTCTTCTACGCTGTCAGTGCCCATACATTGTGACTCGCAAGCTGCGATATGCGTAGCCAAAAATAGTGCCTATAATGGTAAGAGGAGACACATAAGAGTCAGACATGAGTCTGTGAGACAACTAATTCTAAGTGGCGTACTTTCACTAGAATATGTGAAATCCGAAAAGAACATTGGAGATCCTCTCACGAAGGGGCTAAACAAAAGAGCCATCCTCGAAACATCGAGGGAGATGGGCTTAATAGCGATACAGTGAGCAAACTTCGAGGTTATATAAACCTGGAAGCTAAACACACCTATTTAGAGATAGGTCTCAGGTCAAAGAGTTGACCTTACGAGAAAGACCAAGTTATATATTCTTACAGGGTGATTGCTGGTGTGTGAACTGAGTTCAAAACTAACTCTTCTTTCGATAGTTCAAGATCTAATTCACTATCAAAGGAGAAAGTTACTCAAGTCACTACGTGTTAGTTCAAGGTACAACCACTGACATTAAGATCAGCACTCGTGCCAGAAATTCCGTCTTCTTCTTGCCACCTTGAATGTGTGGGGGATTGTTGGAGATTACATTTAAGATGGTATTTTAAAGTGTGTAGAAGGAAGACACTCTTGACCCACATTGGAAGGATAAGGGACTAATTCCAACCTTTTTAATACCAACCCATTTGGAAGGCTTAAACTATTGTAGAGAGAGAAGGAAAGGGAACCCCACACGCGCGGCGCCGCCGCCGCCGCCCACCCGGCATGGCTCAGTTCGCACGCGCGTCGCGGTGTGGTCAGCGTTTTACTCGGGCTTTATTTTAATTCCGAGTTTTTTCCCTTTTAGAGGTAGATTTCATGTAGAAATCTACCATCCACACATTAAGTTGTGGTGGAACAAGTCTTCCTATTCTTGTGGGCATTTTCACCACAATTCTTCCTAAAATCGTGGAGCATGAATGGCTGAGAGGGGAGGGGCGGGTATTTTCAATACTATAAATACCCTGCTTCTCCTCGGTTCTATTCACTCATCAAATTCTCTTCTTCTCTTCTGCAATCCTGAGCTTCGGTGTTAACTGGTCGAAAGCAACCGGTAAGACTACAACCGTCTCCGGGAAATTTTTGCTTTTAAGGTAGTGTCTCGCACGCGTCACCGATCCCTTCAGGATTCATCCATTCTCAGCTTATAAAAAACAGTAGCCCCAGGTCTACGACATATTTATCCGAATTGTCCCCAACAATCTCCACTAGTTTATTAGTTAAGATTGTTTATCCGCTGCTTAGTTTATATTAATGTTGGTTTTAAGTTTAAGAAAAGTGGGGTGTTACAACAGGACCAGATATTGCTCATGCAGTGGGTATTGTTAGCAGATTTCTTTTAAATTCAGGGAAAGAACATTGGGATGCTATTAAGTGGATTCTGAGATATCTTCGGGGTACTTCAAGTCTGAGTTTGTGTTTTGGTATAGGGTGTTAGTAATGTTATTATTTGTTATTATTATTTATTATCCTAAGTCTAGTAATATCTTGTATTAGAATAAGTCTTGTATGACTAGGCTATTAGTTAGGAGATAATAGTGGTATAGTTTTATATACTCTCCTGTAACTCTGTTTTGTTGAAACAGAATAACAATCCTTTCTCTAATCTGGTATCAGCCAAAAGTCGATCCTCCCTCTCTCCTCTTTTCACCGACAACCACCGTGAACCTCCCACCACCACCATGTCATCAAACTCCTCCGAGAGGACTATTTCCGTCGGCGGTGGCTCATCCCCGTCCGGCAACAACCCACTAACGGGAGCTCATCACTTCATATCTATGAAGTTGACATCCAGAAATTTCCTATTCTGGCATACACAGCTCATTCCGTTTCTTCGCGGACAGGACCTCCTCGGCTTTGTGGATGGCACCTCATTGTGCCCTCCTCCCACTATCATTTCTCCACCCGACGGCACCTCCGACTCCGGCGCGATAACGGCGGCCCCAATCCCGAATCCGGCTCACAAAGCCTGGGTTCAACAGGATCAGTCGATTCTTTCTCTTCTCATCTTGTCAATGTCTGACGAGGTTCTTCACCTTGCTGTTGGGCGTAACACGGTGGCAGAAGTATGGCGATCCATCTGCACGGCCCTCGGCTCCAATACCCAAGCAAGATGCCTGAACTTGCTTGGGCAGTTTCAATCCCTCCGGCAAGGTGGCTCGACGGCGGCGGACTACCTCGGCAAGGCCGAACTGCTCGTTGCCGCTCTCGCACAGGCCGGATAACCTCTATCCCTTGCAGAACAAAATCTGTATGTTCTACGGGGCCTTCGACCGGAGTATCGGGCCTATGCGGCTTCCCTCACCGCCAACACGCCAGTATCTCTCCCGCAACTGGCTGAGTCGGGGTACTTCAAGTCTGAGTTTGTGTTTTGGTATAGGGAAACCTATTCTTACCGGATATACTGATTCTTATATGGCTGGAGACATTGATACGAGGAAATCTACTTCAGGCTATCTGATTACCTATGTAGAGGGAACAGTTTCGTGGCAATCAAGATTGCAAAAGTGCATTGCTTTGTCTACCACTGAAGCTAAGTTCATAGCATCTGTTGAGGCCAATAAAGAAATTTTATGGATGAAGAAGTTTATTCAGGAACTCGGGTTTGTTCAAGACAAGCATGTGCTCTATTGTGATAGTCAGAGTGCATTTCATCTTGCAAAGAACTCCACGTTCCATTACAGGTCAAAACATATTGACACAAGATATCGTTGGATTAGAGATATCTTGGAGTGCAATATGCTTGAACTTGAAAAGATTCATACTGATGATAATGGGTCTGACATGATGAACAAATCGTTGCCAAGAAGAAAGTTTGAGGTGTGTTGCTCTATCGCCGGGATAGCGATACCTTCCACATAGTCGGGAGGGGGGATTTGTTGGGATTGAGCTTCCCTCCTGTGTGGTAAATAGCTCAATTTGGACCAAGCCAATTTATATTCACTATAATATATTTGTTAGCTTGATGGAAAAGTTTGATGACAAATTATTTGTCTTGGAGAATGGGATATGGGTAGAAGTTGGAGCAGAAAGTTGGAGAGAAGGAATTTGGGTAGAAGTTGAAGGGTGGAAGTTGGAGCAAAAGTATGGGATGAGGTTTGAAGATAATTTCCCTTCACTTGCTTTCTTCCCCATTTTTCCTTTCTATGTCGGCAGAACCTATCTATAAAAAGGGGATGCAATGCTCATTCTTAATGAGAGAGAAATCCACATCTTCCACAAGCTTCCACATAATTCCATTTCGACAGTTTTGATAGAGAAAGAAGAAAAATCTTATTTTTCTTATCTCTTCGGCAGAGGCATCAAAAGAAAACAGAATTCAATTTTTCATTCGTCCTTTTTCACGGCAGTTCGCCGCAACGGAAGGTTTTCCTAGCTCTTGGGTATTATCTTCATCAAATACTTTGAGGTCAGCTTGTATTTATTCCAAGCACATTTTGGATGCGAGATATTATTCCTTTTAGCCTGTGGGCAACCATAATATACGAGAAACCTGACCTCGTATGATAGCGGAAGCGTAGCCGTGCTGATCTCCAGCCATAGTTGATGTTCCTGTTGTGTTGCCTCTTAACGGTAGACCGTCAGCCATGTTTTGCCTCAGACCTGACTCAGAACCCTAGATGGTGTATTGGTGTCTACTGAGCGGTCTGAGTACCGTAACTGAATGTGCTATCTAATCCATAATCCTGTATCCCATCAATCCAGGTTATATTAGGCACAGAGTTTGGTTGACTAACAACTACTAGTTATTAAGTCCAACCAGATCACTTAATAAGCCTAGTCAACTTGCACCACTTAATTAAGGCCCTAATATATAATGTATAATATATATTATTAGGGAAAATCTTACATTCTCCCACTTGGTGCAAGTACTAGCACAACCTTCATCAAAGAACAAAACACACGAATCATAGTGAATCTTACACCGTCAGCCATTCCTTTTAGCCTGTGGGCCACGGTAGTGATCCCGTGGTTTTTGGGGGTTTTCCCGTGGTTTTTGGGGGTTTGCACGTAAATCTTGTGTCCCTTATATCTGATATTTATTTTGGCGGTTCTGTGATTTTCATTTGTCAACTTCTTATCAGTTTCTGCTAATTCCTTTAGTTAGCTGATTCACTATATATAGTATTATGTCTACGATATATATATGTTCGTTGTACCTCTCCAATTGTTGTTTGACTATTGCAATGTATACAAATTGGAGGTATAAGTGCTTTCCAACTTGTATCTTATAAAAAATGGCTAATCCGCTTATTTTTTGAAATATATTTTTATATTATAATATTTATATATTTGATTTATATAATATAAAAATTAACGTTTAATTTCACATATAAACGTATATTAATGTATAAATGTATATTATATTGATTCAATTCTTTAACGAGAATATTCATAATCATACAAATATATAATTTTAAAACATAACGTATGTAATTTTTTTTTTTTTTGAAAGCTAACGTATGTAATTATTATGTTTAAAAATGACAATAATTATTCAATATGAAATGATCATTTAAAACGCAGGACTCAATTGATAAAAAGTAAGCAATGTATGTTATTTCAATTAAAGATTGACCAAAAATTTAATTACATTATCATGAATCATATACAAATATATAATTATAAAACATAATGTATTGAAATTATTATGTTTGAAAATGATTTGTATATTCAGTTTAATGGTGGGCAATCACTCAGCTCCCTCAATACATATAATTCCTAAACAGCACCGGCAACAACGTTCCTATGGTTGATTGAGATATACTGTCCTTCCATTCAGTGGTTGCAGTGGCCTTGCATTTTCCTCGTAACCCTAAACAACAAATTCAAAACATCAAATATTTGTACCATTCTATGTATATATGTGTCACAGATTAAATCTATGTAGATAGATACATAATTCAGTACTTACATCATCAACAGCTTCCTTTAATAAGTTTATCTGTTCCTGTGATACTGTCTTTACCTACAAAATCAAACAGTTTTATCACTGTGTGAGTGAGAGAAAGAGATACATGCATATTTAATTTTCTTGGATTATGAGAGAAATCTGCAGCCACTATTCGATGGTGTGCACTGATAAATCCCGCTTTGTGATTCTTGTTGGTCAAAGAACCAACCTAGGTTGCCCATAGCTAGGTAAACCAGCCCAACTAAATTGACCATATATAGCTAGGTAAACCAACCCAACTAGGTTGCCATATATATATAGCTGGGTAAACCAGCCTAGCTAGATAGGTTGCCAATAGCTGAGTAAACCAGCCCAGCTAGGTAGCCCAGGGCTAGGTAAACCACCCCAACTAGGTAGTCCATATGTAGCTAGGTAAACCAACCCAGCTAGGTAGTCCATATGTAGCTAGGTAAACCAACCCAGCTAAGTAGTGCATATATAGCTAGGTAGCTAGGTAAACCGCTAGGTAAACCAACCCAGCTAGGTTGGCAACAGCTAGGTAAACCAGCCCAGATTGCTCATAGTTAACCGGCTCAAACAAAGAAGGTTGAGATTCAAACTCGTGACCTTGTGGTTGTATCCTTAGTCATCTTGGGTGGGTGTTGGGGAGGTTAAGGTTAGGATACAGACCTCTTTGGTTACTGTCCAGATGACACCCTGTGAGCATGGTGGGGTAGTGAGGGAACCAATGAATCTGTAATATTTCTTGCCCTCATATGTGATCTTTCCTGGATTAAGGGCGCCTAAAGCTTTACCATTGCGATCAACTTGCCTGATGCTGTTCAGCAACTGGAGTGGAACCAAGAAATTAATTAATTAATGTATATAAGATCAATTCAATTCTATTGTATATATATATATAGAGAGAGAGAGAATTGAATGGTACTTACTTGTCCAAGGAACTTATCAGGTTTTCCTATTTTGTATAAGATGGAGACAGCAGCAAATTCATCTTTTGCACTCCTATGAACCAGATGAATCTCCATATCAACCTTTTTGCCGTTCACAGTGTTCTCAGAGGGAGTATGCCAGTGGCATTGTAACATGAAGTAATCAGTACCGTTAATGATAATCTTTCCGGCATCACCTGTCCACTGGATCTGCATGCATGCAACAATTTATTATATAATTGACCCGGGATATATGTAGATAAACTAAGTCATAAATTATAAGTGTAAAATAGTATGTAAATGAATTGTAATAATATTGGGTGGATTAATGTAAAAATATTAGCTAGCCAAGACAATGGACTTCGAAGGCCAACCCTAGCTAGGTCCCTAATCTTGGGTCTGGGTCACCTGTCCTGATCCGAATCATCTATCTTGGTCCAAGTCATCTTCTTGGACAGAGATCCTGGGCTATTGGACCCCGGATTTTCATTCTTGAGTAGTTTTCAATATCTCTATCAGTTACAAAATCCAACAAAACTAAAACTACTTGGAACCAATTAATTACCTGAAGAGCATGGCCTTTGTTGATGATTATAGCCTCAGACGATTTGTAACGTCGAATCAACTCCCCAAATTTGGAGGTAACCTTAACAGTGGAGTCATCAATATTAATGGGAGACTGCATGTTACCAGCATTGCAGACTGTATAATTTGTGTGAAGTTTTCCCCATTTCCCTGGGCCATTCTCAGCTCCACTAATATAGGTAAATTTGGTTCCCTCACTCTCACTGGCTAAGGAGATGGTTTGTGATGAGAGGAAAAGGATTGAGATGATGAGGAGGATGAGTGGATTGTCCATTATTTCAGACCTTCAAAACTTGCATTGACAACAATATAGTTTTGAAGGCCGGATTGAAGAAATTTATTATTATTTACTATTTCTTACCTCTGATCTCTATTTAATTTTATCATGTATATATAGGAAATAAAATGCTAATATTTCGGGATGCAATAAGGATTTGTGTGGATTGGATGCTACATAGGGATTTATGTGGTCTCTATTGTATTATTGTATTGATCTATATTTTAATAATGAGTCTTTTATTGGTTGAAATATTTTAAAATTTATTTAGAATTTTAATTTTAATAAATTATATTTTCTCTCTAAATTCTTTTTAACTAAAATTTACTTCTCTTTTTTTTTTTTTTTTAAATAATGAAAATAAAAATTAATGTTTAAGAAATATATAATTACAAATTTCTAAATGATATTTTTTTTAACAAACATCTATATTTTTTTTTCTTTTTAATTAACAGGTTCATTTTTTTTATGTTATTGTAGCTTAGTTAAAAGAATTGAAAAAAAAAAAAAAACATCTACAAGGAATTATTTCTGTATTACATCAATTCTATGCTATATAACTCTAATATATATATATATAATAGATGTTGGTGTGTTACAAGTTACAACAAAGATGAGATGAGGATATGAACCATTTTTTTAATTTACGTGTTCATTTTTTTAAAGAAAAATATAATCTCATAGGATCGGAGAAAGATGGAGGTGAATCCAGAATGCCCGTGGCCTATATATAATGAAGAAGTCATGGATACCCTATGAACCTGTTCATATGCGCAACATGTTTGGAGGGTATCCCAACTTCCTATTCCAAAAATGGTGGGAGTTGATCTTCATGGGATATGGCAGGCTAGGAATCACCAACTGCATTATGGGAGTCATTGAAAGCTCAATGGAATAATTGGGTGGCTGGCTAGTGGCTTGGTACTATTGTTTAAGTTTTTGTTCTAAACTTTCGAGTAAGTCATTAGACCATTCCTATATTATATTGGTGTTATTGCACACACATGTAAACTTTTTGTTAGCTCTATTAGTAGTTGTGAGGTCTGCTTCATTGGTAGATAGAGATAGAAACCACGCTGCTCATTTGCTAGCCAAAATCGATGGGGCTAGCAATGGCAAAGATTTGCATGCACGGATAATAAGCAATAATTAAACTTTGGTATTTAAAACGGGGTAATAATGGTAATACATGCAAATTGTAAATATGGTTTTATTTGTTAGGATATTTAACATGTTTTGAGGAATTGTAATTCAGGTAGGATTTCACATTGCAATTGTAATTGGACATTAGAAGAAGGAATTGATTTAATTTCTACCGATAAGAATTTTGATATAATATGTTTGCCACAAACAATTTGTTTACAGCGTTGCGTGAATTTCGTAGTAGAACTACTGGAACTAGTTTTGATAAAGGAAATAATTTGCGTTATGATTAATTTGGTTGTGTGCATGTACTCATTAACGAAAGCATGCATGTGTGGCAGCAAAGGAAGAGTGTCATGTTATTTATAGGAAATCACTTGGGACATGATTGTGAGATCAGGTGCCCATGTAAAAAATTCCTAAACACAACATCCTTAAATCAAAGCGTGGTTTATATGCATTTGCGCCAAAATGAAATAGATACATATTGCACACGTTGGATATTCCATGGAGAGCACCAATTTTTCAAGAACCAAGTAATAATGGTTCTCAGGTTGAGTATGATGATTCTGATGATGAAAAGTTAGATGGAGTCTATGAGTTCTTAAATGAATATGAAAATTTTGTAAACTTCAACTCACAGTTAAATTAAATCTCAATACTCACAGTGGTGAAGTTGATAATTTTGAGAACATATTGAGAGAATCAAAACAAGAATAATATTCAGGTTGCACTAAATTAAATTCTCAAAATTATCGATCATTAACTGTGAAGTTGCTTCATCTGAAGGTGTATAATAAATGGAGCAATAAATCACTTGACATGTTGCTTGAATTGCTAAAAGAATGCTTACTTGATGGCAATACACTTCCACATTCTCACTATGAGTCTAAGGCTATGCTTTGTAACTTGGGATTGGGATACACAAATATTCATGCATGAAAATATGATTGTGTGCTATTTAGGAAGGAATTAGAGACAGATGATTGTTGGGATTGTTATGCTGTGCAACCGTGTGCACCATGCATGGTGCACACGGGTCTAGTATAGATTGATAATTTCTATACTGTAGATTCTTAAACTCTATACTGTAGATTCATAATTTCTAAATCGTGGATTCATAATTTAAATACAGTAGATTCATAATTTCTATACAGTAGATTCATAATTTCTATACTGTAGATTCATAATATTTGTACTGTAGATTCATAATTTCTGTACTGTTGATTCATAATTTCTAAACTGTATAGTTATCAAATTATGAACATATACTTATGTGATTTGTGAATACAGAGTTCAACAATTGGGAATATGAATATCGAAAATTATGAACATATAGCTCTATAATTATGAACATATATTTAAAAAATTATGAATCTATAGTATAGATTTTATGAATCTACAATATAGAAATTATGAATCTAGACCCGTGTGCACCATGCTTGGTGCACACGGTTGCACAACATAATTGATTGTTGTCCTATATGGGGTACTTATAAATGGAAAGTCAAAGGTGTGTGCTATTTTGGAAGGAATTAGAGACAGATGAATGTTGTCCTATATGTGGTACTTCTAGATGGAAAGTCAATGGTGGTAAAGGAAAAAATATTCCTCATAAAATATACTAAGGTACTATCCTCTAAAACCTACGCTTCAAAGATTGCTTAAATAATGTCCAAAAAAAAATTACAAATGATATGAGGTGGCATAAGGAAAGACGAATTGACGATGGTGAGTACTTACGTCATCCGGCTGATTCTGGGCTTAGAAAGATTTTGAATCAATGTTGCAAAAATCCTTTCTAGGTACTAATTAATCGGCGTCTAAGCGCTAGGCGCTGGCCGATCGCCTAGCGTATCACCATAATTGGTGGTCTAGGCGACTGGCCGGCTAGGCGGCCGACTCGGCCTCCTAAGCGCCGACCAAGCCTCCTAGGGACCGACTAGGTCGCTTAGTCGTGCCGATTAGCTATTGTTCCCTTCTTTTTTAAATGGGTTATTTCACTCAAAACGACATCGTTTTGAGCGAAATAACCCTAAATTGTTCAAACTCTAGATGTTTTTAAGGTGAATAATTACTATTTTAGTATTAACTATTAAAGTATTAAATAGTTTATAATTATCATGACCTTGTCTAACGTGCCACAAACTCGAAGACCCAACCAGGCAAGACCAATCAATAATATTCTTATTAATTACGGTTATTACACCGAGCTTATAGCCCAATTAGTAATTAACCCTTGCCTTTATTCCAAATTTAGACAAGACCTTGTCTTAAACCACAGTAGTGACAACTTTATAAATCATTACACCATTACTCGCAAGTTAGGTGGTTCGAGATTTATTTTGTTGTCACAACACTTCCGTCATCTGTCACAAATTAATTTCATACTAGTACAATTTGGTATCTTTAATCAAGTTAATTTTCACACAATTAACAAGATTAGATCAACCAAAATTTTCAACTAGTTGAATCAAGCTTATATAATCGTATTAAGAATATTATTTAAAATATTCAATACACTTGAGCTTTGACGCTCACGATTATATAGCCATCCCAATTTTGACAAATTGACAATACTTAAAATCTAGAACCGAAGTCCTTTACGAGATTTCAACCATGCAACACGTTTGTTACATACCACTATGGCTGTTAAGCCATTCAAGCATTTTCCGTGGAATTGCTTCTTGAAGTCCTTTCTGCCCAAAGGCGACAAATGGATACCAAATTCCACTTGAAAGGCATCACTCACGATCATTCCTTTGTCAACTTGACTTAGGACGATCCCAGAATTCACCATCTTGTATTCAAGTAATCGGCTAACGACAAACATTTTTGCCTTAGCGTCATCAGTATTATACTTCAGGTCCAAAGATTCCCACAACGAGTCACACAAATCATTCAAAACATAGTTTAGGCATAGGAAAATCAAATATTTCCAAATCCTTACTATGCTAACGGTTTGAGCGTTAGACTCATGTTCCTTTCCACTAGGAACCATCTCGGTCATGAACCATGACATGCCGAGAATCATTAGGTTGTACAACATTCTCAGTTGCCACCCTTCGAAATTCAACTTCTTGAATTTCTACGGTCTTTCGACCAAACCACAAGGTACCGTCTCATGTTCCTTCATCGTAGGGATATACCCTTTGATGCCACCACCGGTCTCCAAACCAAGTTCACCAGGGTTTCGGATTGTGCAACTACGTTGCCGATCCGACCATTTGAATGTGCACCACGAGCAACATTCACGGTTCCACCACTCGTGGAATCCATAGATTTAATCACCAAAAAAATTAATCGGTTTTAAGATTGTTGGATATTAGTGAATAAATCGATACACAAAAAATATATAAAATATATATTTGTCCCGAAAAATGGAATTTAATTTATAGAAAATTAATTCCAACCAATTTTGGTACGAAACCAAAATTACATATATATACAACGTATATACGGTAACCAAATAGGGATTTATTTTATAAAAAATAATCCCACCACAACTAGTACGAAACTAGTACAAGGGATTTAATCCTCACGAGATTAATCCCACCACTTGGTACGAAACTAAGAACAAAAATAAAACAAGAGACGAGTTTCTAACCTGAGGTTTTAACCCAACGAGAAGAAAGAAGAAGCAGAGAAAGCCCGAGTCGTGTGTACACACACTCTCCTTAAAACCGATTCGCCACCTCCCGAGGGTGCTCGGAGCGTTGTGGCGTCAATCTTCAAGGATAAAACGGACTACGACTTTGGCATTCGAGCACTCCTACCCAAAGTCCGACGAACTAGAACACAAGTTGAGCACTCCGATGTTTTACAGAAGATGTTGGTAGAACAACTTTTCTCTTGTGAACGGGATGAGAGATGATAGAAAACGAAAGAAAGATTTTGAGAGTTTCAACAAGAATGTTTTAAAAAACTATCTGCCAACAT